CCTATCCTATAAAAAAGAGAAACCTAGACGGATTCCGAGATAAAAAACAGCATTGTAAGGGATAATTTAAGTGTAATTTAAGCATTTTCGCTGAACTCCTATCATCTATGTGATTTGAAAAGTTTAGTCTTCTGTATAACAGTATATCTAGTTCTCGGATATAGATACCTTATTGAAAAAAATATTCCTTTTACGGATTTTATAATGTTAACATATTATATTCGCGACATTTACCTCGTGACCATGGATACTGCAAAGCACTCGAAACTCGAAACCTCTTTGTTTCCTTTGTTTCAAAAACTTTTCTAACTTTGCCAACTTGAAAGAAATTTTATTAAAGATAAATTATGGCTTAGTAAACAGTTTTCTTGTTTAATATTATATTTAAGATGTACAGTTCTCTGACTCTACAGCAGAATTGTTTTAAAATATTACCGTTAACTTCAATGTTTATCAAATGTCCACTGCTGAAAATGGGCCTCACCAATGGATTGTCCCATTGGATGAATATTTGCTGTAGTTTCTACGCTTGACAGGCGAGAGTAGGAAGACGCTGTTGCGCATCTTCTGGTTTCCTTCTTTTGCCTTCTACGATACCCACCAGATGATATGATATGATATAGTAGATATTCTTACACTGTCACTTCACGGTACGCATAAAAGTAAAAAAGTAAAGTTACAGTCTATATACGTCCCACTGCTGCAGGACTCCCCTATTTTCTGAGAGGTTTCTAGGGCAAGGAAGTGTCCGCCGCGCTGCCCCAATGCGTGTTGGCGAACTTCACACGTCTTCGAAATTTTTTTTTCTTATTCCTCAGACATGCAGGTTTCCTCACGATGTTTTCCTTCACCACCGAGCACGTGGTACTGAGCTACCACGGCTCGGCTACCACGGCGGTACGCATATTTATATTTAAATCTTGACACGCATGTTTATATTATATTAGAATAAAATTTTGCACGTTACAAATTTTCAGTGTAAACTTACACTCAATAATTTGTACCTAAGACAGCCTTCTGAAAATACGCATGCTGCATTCGCCTATGTTGTTTGAACATTGAAATATATAATAAATAGTTTTTTCTCTTCTAATTAATGTTTTGTTAAGTAATGTAGGTATAACAACTACAGTCAAACCTTAGTAGTAATAAAAAATACATTATTCTTATAATTATCTACTAACAAAAAATATTGCGTATTTTTGAATCAGGCTGCTCAAAATATTCTAAATATTCGTTGTTTTTAAAAGGATTTAGCAGGTACATCTATTTTTAATTTCAGCTTGCAAATTGCGCGCGATTGTAAATACACATTGTTGGGAAACTAATTTAGATGAGTGATCATCACGAGATCATGAAGTATATATTTAAATAGTTATTTACAGTAAAGTAAAGACGCAGCATATTTACATCCAACTGTTGGGCACGGGCATCCCTCTATTACTGGATGGCCTTTTTTACAGTCATGAAAAAAAATAGGTTGTAACATGTGAACGGAGTAGAAGCCTATGGTGCTGATGTTTTACAAAAAATAAAAACAAAACTTTTGAATTAATTAAATAAATAAATTAAAATGTATCGAAATTTAAATCACATAGACTCTACTTTACGAACGACAGTAAAAACAATACTTTCCAGGGTGTCAGGCTAAGGTGGATAATATTTCGATAGATTTTAATTTATTTACTAATTTAATTAAAAATTTTTGTTTTCATTATTTGTAAAATATCAGTGCCATAAGCTTCTACTCCGTTCACATGAATATATATATATATATATATATATATATATATATATATATATATATATATATATATATTATAATACAGTCAAACCTGGATAAGCGAGAGTTAAAGGAGCACAATCTCATTCTCGCTTATAGAGGTTTCTCACTACCCCGAGTTTCTCGCTAATGCAGGTACATGGGTAGCGTTTCTCTCTTACTATATACTATACGCAGCAATAACAAGTCACAGCAAGTACGAATGTAGTAAATATGTAATGTGATAAAATTAGATGAATAATGTGCACAACATATATTATGTACATATTTTTTTAATAGCGTTACGTTCATTAGATTTCAACATATAAGTACTTTATAAGGGTAAGATATCAAGATGCTTACGAAAACAAAACAAAAATTCATGCACTATGTAATTTTATTTATTTAGAAATTATTTACACTTAAAAAAATCCATCAATTACATTTGGGTTTCTGTTTTCGTATTTTGAATGTTTATCTCTAACTCATAAATTTTGCCGAATATTGCTTGATCAACAACCGCCGCGTATTCAAAGTACTGATGGACCGTCTCAAACGCATTTAAAGCTAGCTTCATTGGAGTGATGTCCATTTGAAAAGAATGCGATATAATAACAACGTTATTTAGTTCCACGAAATAGAATATTGACGAGAAAACAATACAAAAACAATGGTAGGAAGTTCTACGAAAGTTAAGAATGAGTCATAAAATAGCAGATGTTAAATTTGTAATTTGTTTTGTCATTTGTTACTTATATGTGTGTATTTTTATTGTAGCTATAGTTCCTCCTAAATAATATAAATAAATAAAGCTCGACTGTCGCTTCTATAGGTATAGATAAGTAGCAGTCTCACTTACGGAGGTCCATAAGGGAAAAACGACTCTCTCTTACAGAGGTTTCTGTTTCTCGCTAATAGAGGTTTTGGGAGCATAAATGACGGGTCCTGGCTATTACTCTCACTTATAGAGTTTTCTCACTTATCCAGTTCTCACTTACCCAGGTTTGACTGTACACTTGTAAAATACCATACTAAATAATTACGTTGTGAAAAAAAATACCATAAAGAATAGAATCATGCAGTGATGTGTAACGCGGTATCTATATATTTTGCTTCGTTCTGTTTTAAGTTGAATATTATGATAATTCAATCAATAGAGTTGGAAAACTCTGTACAAAAATCTGTATCCAGTGTTAATCTGTATTATACACCGAAAATATGTATAAATAAAAAAAATCTGTATATATAGCAACACTGACAGAGAGGTATATATGCGATCAATTAATCCTCCCGTTACTCCATTGAGTTTCGTCCTTGTCCATGTCCTTGAAATATTTTTATTTATCAGAAATACATGGCATGGCACGATATTTTTCTTCGGTGCCGAGCAGGTGGTAATTCAGCATTCAAAATGGTAATTAACAGTTTTATTAATGATCGAAAGTGAAATTTACCGCGAGCGTTAGCCACTAAAATACCACAGCTTTACTTGTTTCATTTAAAGCTGTTTTTAGAAGTAACAAACGAGCACATAGTTTTCCTCATGGCAAATCGATGTTGTGGTCCATGGACACCAACATCCATTATTGTTTAAGAACCAGAATGCAAATGCCTTGACACCTCTGAGAACTAAGGTGGAATGCCTAGTTATCAGTAGAAAGGATCTCAGGTAGACTTATTTTTTATGAAGGATGACAAATGATCATATAGTCCATCTGATGGTAAATGGATGCTATGGCCTAAAGACACCTACATCTATCCTGTAGAAGCGTTGTCACCCCTGAGTGGTAAGAATGCTTCGTTACCAGTAAAAATGTTTATCGATTCCCTGCACTCACAATACAAAACACAACAGCATTAAGCTGCTATTTTATGTTATTATATTATTTTGTGACATCGTTGTTCTTCCCCTGTCGAGCTGACTTGTTCCTGCTGCCCATATAACATAGTTGCAGCGCGTATCCCGATAAAAAAGCGTCCTTAGCGGATAAAAATATTTTAATCTTAAGGCACCTTATGATGCTACTCGTCATCAATTGTCCGCTAGCTTTAACTATTTTCAAAATCTCACAAAAACTTCGCAATGTTCTACATCAGCATATAATTTTTTTTATAGGACAGGGTGACAAACGAGCTCACAGTCCACCTGACGGTAAGTGGTTGCTGCGGCCCATTGACATTTACATCTATACTCGATTACAAATCAAAATGCAAATGTGTTGTCGGTCGATTTTTACCACCTGATGAGCCGCATGCTCGTTTGCCCCTTCGTTTATGTAAAAATAACTAAATACCTAACTAAAATATGACCTCCGGTATGACGTCGTATGATTGCTACCATAAACATACCAATACCAATAACTGTCTCTAATATACTGGAAATCTCTATTTAAGGCGACACCGCGAAAAATTGCACCTCCTTTCATCGATCACTGAGTAGTATAGGACTATGACACCACTAACGAAACTGGAATTTTGATATTGGTAAAATCATGTCTTTATCTTGAATTTGCTTGTTCAAAAACATGGTTGTGTAATTTTGACTTGATCATAATTATTTGAGAAAACACCTCTAAAAATCACTATAGTTGAAATTACAACGAAATTACTTAATCTATATGCTTGAGAATCTCTTAATCAAAATAATGAGCAAGTAAATTACGAACATTGATCTTATGAATTTATTTCATAACATCAATGTTCGCAATTTTAGACCTTATGACGGCGTTTCTTAAGTTAATATGGAAATTATGTATTCACACAGCTATTGAACATGTAGGACGTAACGTTCGAATGATACTAATTAACAGACAGCCGTGATCAAATCGCCGATCTTTTAGTACAGAACGTGTATCTTAACTCCGTTTTCGGCATTGGTTTCATTCCTTATTGCATAAGACCAAGATATTTGATTTCTCGAATTTGTTTTCTATATAATTGTAACGTTTAACAAAAAGTAAATATCGACTTCAAATTGCTAAAAAAGAAATTATTTATTAGCAACCATTGAAATATAACCTTTTTTTTCCGGGTAGGTGTGAAAAAGTAACAACTAAATTTTGTGCATCTCTGTAGTGTTATTTATTTATTTTAGTTATTCATTGTGTACAGTGTTTAATATTTGTTAAGTATCAAATCTAAAATATCATATATGCAATAAATTAAATACCTGCCATAAGCTGCTACCACTTTTCTTACAAACTTCAAGTTGAGTACAATACTTAAAGAACATCTCAGTATGGAAAACATATTTGAAGTCCTTAAAACACAAGCATCACTGGAGAAGACACTTAATCAGAGGTTGGATGAGTTTGAGGCGAGGCTAGAGGGGTCATCAAAGGACTTAAGCCTGAAGGACGTAAGTTCTGACTACATCAACTTCAAGGATTTTGTTTATTCAACATTTACATTACTGCGGCAGCAAATTAACGATCTAATTGTTAATGTGTATGCCGTTGAAAGTAGACACAGAAAGAAGTTTGTGCTGCTAGGAGGAGTGGTCGAGAATACCAATGAGAATGTCCGCGAATTGGTAGCTTCAGTCATCACAAAGAATCTTGGTATCAAAAATTGTTCTAGTCAGTCGCTGCAGGTATGTCATCGTCTTGGCACAATATCTAATGGCCGCCCTCGTCCGATTCTCATAAAATTTGAAGACACTCCATTACGTCAGGAGGTATGGGCCAAGAAGGCTTTGCTCAAGGGTAGCCCATATGTGTTTTCAGAATATCTAAAACGAATGAGGCAGTCTTTATTCTTAGAGGCAGGCACTTCGGCACTACGAATGTATGGACCTTGGACGGGGTGATCAATGTCAAGTTTTCTACTGGATCCTGTTACAACAAATGATCTAGAGAAGCTGACAACCCAACACAAAGCTGACGTAGAACGGGCTACCTCGCTTCCAGCATCAGATCTCATTCCCAAAAAAGAAGGATCTAAATCCAGGACAACAACTACTTCGAAGCGTGCAATCAGTAAGAAGTTGTGATTTATCGTAACTGTTTCCTAGTCCGTACATTGTATTTGTAATTGTATTGCACTTTACGATCAGCATCATTCTTACTGTATTTATAACTTTTTCGATTTCATTTTTTGATTTCGGTGCTGACAATAAGCTTTAATTTTACGTTCACCGTACGAAATATTATTGTAGTATTTGGTACGAAATAGACTAGGGGCACAGTCTATAAATCCACATTTTTTTATTCTACTGATTATTTAGAGTTGGTAATCATTTACAGTTTGGTTCGAATAATACCAAAATAAATTTAAAACAGGTAATTTAAAACCCAGGATTTATCAGTTTCTACGTATTTGTTGTTACTGCTTATTTCTAGAGGCTCAGCTACAACATACATAAACACTCACGCCTGTCACCCAGAGGGGTAGGCATAGACTACAGACTTCCATTTAGCACGATCCTGACATACCTCTCTCGCCTCTTCTACATCCATATACCTACGCATACATGCTCGTCGGTTAAGGGTACTCTTAATTTGTCCCATTTTTAGTATATCGCCAATTTGGTCGACAAACTTCCGCCTAGGACGTCCCTTTCCGACTCTTCCATTTACTTCTGCAACATATATTTGCTTTGTCAGTCTTTTCTCATTCATTCTTTCTACATGACCAAACCACCGAAGCATTCCTTTCTTAATCCTGGTCACCGCATCATCTTGAAAACCACACTCTTCTTTCATCACACATATATGTTTATAGTTATTTGTATATAAATTTATGGAGATATATATGTATAAATATGTGTATTAGTTATATTATTTATATGTGTAAGTGTATATATATATATATATATATATATATATATATATATATATATATATAATATATATATATTATTTATGTGTAGCATGTACATTTTTGAATTGAATGTGATCATGACAACTTTACTGCCCGTAACTCACCCTCTGTTCTACCCAAGGTTACCCGGTAGAGAATGCCATATAGCATTAAGCTCGCCTTTTGTACAAAATCTTTGGTGCAATAAAGAATAAAATAAATAAATAAACTATTTAGGAAAAAAGAGTAATTAAAATCGGTTCACAATCTGCGAAGATATCGCGTTACATAAATACAAAAAAAACATACACTCCAAATGAGAACCTCCTCCTTTACAGAATTCGGTTGAAAATAGAGTAATGTGCCTATGATTGCATTACTTAACTTCACGTCTTCATATCTCTTTACATTTGTATCTGGAAATGAAGCTAAGAAATCATTTTCATTTCTTATAAAATTTTACCTAACCGAATTTATTGATAACGTCATGGAAGAACGACTTTTGATACAGGTACGTAAACACTAAAAAGGAGTAGTCAACCCTTATATCTAATATATTAAAATTAATGTTTGTTTGTTCGTATTTTATGTGCCGCCATACCGTTTACTAGATTGCGGTAATTATTTTTAAATTTTTTACTTGCACTTGAGCTAGCGAGCGAGCACTTGAGTAGGTAGCGAGCGTGTCGTACCGACAAATTCATTTGAAATATATGTAGTATTCAATTTAAATATAAATATTATCATTTCTAATTAACCAACATAACTCTTTGAAATTAGAAACGATGTCTTCACAATTATTTCTTCTGCGACAGCAATGCACTGTGTACCAGCTAGTGAATTATAAGAACTTTTGGTAAAGAAATAAATAAAAAAATAATCTTTCACTAAGATGTCAAGTTTTATATTTTTGTTAAAGAGACTATGTACATCAATAAAACTATGTATGTATTACACTATTGGCTGTTGCCTTCAAAGAGTATATAAAGAGTATATATAGTATCTACGTTTTATTTGCCTTCTTTGGGAAATCGTTACCATAATTGGACCACTAGAACTTAGAATAATTTGTATTAGAGGTATTTTAAGGCACCCATGATAAGTGACACCCATGATTAAAATGATGATGAGCTACGCTGGAGCTATATTATGGTAGTAGCACGAATGGGTCGGCTCGGCCCGGGTAGGACCACGTTCTCACAGAATACCAGCGGAAAGTAGCAGTTTTAACGTTGCTGCGTTTCATATGTTGAGTGTAGAGAATCGGAGACCCTTTTTACCGGAAACGAGACGTTCCATGGGCCACAGCATTCAATAAGGCAAGGTCAACTATGCGCTGGTTTGTCACCCATATTCTTTATGAAATAGTGCGTATACAGATAAGTGACATTTTGTCAATCACAGGGGTAACTGTTATACTTACCCTCCTCGTGTATAGTCGTCGGCTGTAGCCGACGCGTTGGCGGCTACTGTCAGACAAGCTGGCGGCCGTCGTAGACCCGTCGGCGACTGTCTTAAAACAACGACACCCCAGAGTTAACGTTAGATTTAGTACATTGTATTGCCAAATGCAATCATCTTTCTTAAGGGCAGAAATTAACAAATCAATGTCGCTAATAGAGTTAATTTTGTAAATGCGCGCTCTTAGACTGTTTGCAGTTTGCATATGGTCCTGAGAGTGTTTTATCATTTTCTTGTTGATGAAACTTGAACATGTGTGGAACATGTCATGTATTTAACATTTGGTTACGTGTCGCATGCTCCGTTTTGAAGTATTAGCAATTGATCGTGACAAGAGGCCTGCTCAATGCAAATTTCAACTCAATGTTGTTTTATGCCTTCTGAAGTGTAATTGATGTGTTATCTTCTTGGCTTCTGACCTTGAAATTTGATTTATATAAGAATCATTGACTCTCGGAGTTTTTTTTAATAGCTTTGAGAGAGAAGCTTCATCATTCTGGACATGCTGGGGCATTCCTTTGAAATGATGAATAAGGATGCTTAATCTGTATTACGCATCACGGGACATCGGATATTAAGATGAATATTGTACCTAACAATAATTTATTAATTTATGTACAATAATTTTTAATGCACATAATTTTATTACCCATAATATTAAAGTGTGTGCCATGAACCCCTGATGAGTTCTTAAATTAACATTATTTAAAAAGTTGCCATGTTAAGTCGGCTTAATAATAGATTCACTATGATATAAACATTACAGTATATTTCAAATAATATCATGTAGGTTTTATTAATTTTGCTACAATATGCACATTATTTATTCCTTTCTCTAAGATTATAAAATATTTTTATCGCAATCATTATTTTCATATTTTTGTAATTTGTGTGTGTTGTGAGACCCGTAAGCTGTAACGCACATAAATATTACTGCTCCGTTGTTTTAATGGTAATTTATCAAGTTAAGTGAGCTAATTGTAAGAAAAATATAGAAGTTAGGTGGATTTAACAGTGTCTTATAGTGAAATAGTGTAAAATCACGAATATTATTAACAATTGAAGTATAAAAAGTGTTAAAAAGGATCGTAACGGTCATAGACTTTTATAAAGTAAATACAGTGAAATATCTTAAAACTCTTACTGTGGAACGTTTTGATTATTTGAATACAAAAATCAATAATAAGTTTCAGACTAAAAGCCCAAAACGGTTAAATAAGTGATTTAATAACCTAAGAATTTAAAATGACTAAGCAATATTAATTCATCGATCTAAGGTCACTTCACCGCCATCTATCGGTGAATACGAAAATTTACAACAATACTTCACGGCCTATCACAGTAAGGTTATCACTACTAAATAAAAGAGGACATTTATTCGGGATAAGCTTATTGTTGTTCTAAAGAAATATGGAGGAAATTAAAGATATGCTTCTTAAAATTCAGGCTGATATGATGTACCAAAAAGAAGAAATAAAAGGTATGAAAAAATATCACAACAAACATAAATAACAATATAAACGAAAAATTTAAAAAAATTGAAACAAAACCTAAACAACTGCAGGAAAAACTCGCGGAACAAGAAATGGCCCTGGAAAAAATTGAGAGACAGCTGCGTAAGAAAATTTTGGTGTTGTTCGGAGTTGAGGAAAAAAAGGGTTCATATTTTGATCTGGTAGATATCGTTTTGGAAATAATAAAAGAGTTTATGTAAATAACTTGCGAAAAACAGTCTGTTCGAAGAATAGGAAAAATTGGTGAGAAAGCAAGACACGTTATAATATCATTTACAACAATGGGCCGAAAAATTGAGGTTTTAAGTAACAAAAAAGCTCTAAAAAACTCTCCTTACTATATTATGGAAGATTATCCTAAGAAAATCTTAGAAAAACGAAAACAGTTAAAGGAATACCTGGCAAAAGAAATAGAGCAAGGAAACAATGCAGTCATCAGGTATGATAAAATTATAATTCTTAAGGACAAAAAATTACCGCAGCAAAATAACAAGAGAAATTTATCGGTATCACCAGAAAACTCTGGAACATCCAACTCTCCATTTACCAATAACATTACTCAGACGTTTAAAAGGAATAGGACTATTAAAGCAAAGCAAAATTAAAAGAAAATATGACAAAGAAGGTTAAGGAAACCATGGGGTCTACGGAATAGCAACAATTAGTGCCCCCTCCACATCTATTAAAGCAACAGGAAGAAAACTCTACAAAAACATTAAACACAGCTCTCAACACGGGTGGTCGCCGCGAGAGCTTTAGACCAGAACCCTCCAGCGATAGTTTATCGAATAGTTTATCGAATAAAAAACAAACTCTAATAACAAAAACAGGTTCTAAAAGAAGAGGTACAATCGAAATATTAACTCTGAACACAAGAACTCTATGAACAGAAGCAAACCTTCAGGAGCTTGAAATCGCTCTATCGGAACTACGATGGGACATATTGGGGATCAGCGAAATGCGCAGACTTGGAGAATCAATCGAAGACCGTAATCAATATATACTCTACTATAAAGGTGTAATTCCGGGACAAAGGGGAGTCGGATTTCTTATTAAAGCCTCGCTGAAGAATCAAATAAAGAAGTTCAGAGGCATATCTGGCCGTATAGCCTATGTCAATATGACAGGTTATAGCAAGGATTGGGTAATCATACAAATTTATGTCCCAACAGAGCAGCTAACCTTAGCGACTTAGACCAGTTCTATCAAGCCCTCAATGAAACAATAATTAAAGTAAAAAATAACCATATCATTGTAATGGGTGACTTTAATGCACAGGTTGGAGTAAGAAGCAGTGGTGAAGAGAATGTTCTTGGTAGATTCGGTCACGGTAAGAGAAGCAAGAATGGCCAAAAAATGATTGATTTCATGCTAGAAACTAATTTAACTGTACTAAACAGCCTCTACAGAAAGAAATACAAAACCAAATGGACTTGGTAATCACCGGATGGAAAATATAGGAACGAAATAGACTATATTACAACTAATAATCATAGAGCTTTCACAAACACTGAAGTAATCCAAACACTAAACTTTAACACTAAGCATCGTATGGTTCGTTCATCTCTTCTGTTGATACCTGCAAAGAAATCACGCAAAATAATCACGGAAAATCTCAAAAAAAGTAACAAAGTGAAAGAAATAAAAATGCCTTATTCTCCTCTTTCAAAGCATAGCACACCTCTAAGGGAGAGCCGAAAAGAGCTAGATCTACAGACAAGGTACAACTTAATAAAAAACCAACTGAGTGGCACATCTACTTCCTCAAAAGACAAAAAACGTAAACTGAGTACAGAAACAATCGAACTTATAGAGGAGAGAAAAAAATTAATGTCAAAAACTTGGAAAGACGGAAAACTCAAAGAAAGAGATCTTGCCGCATTAAGTAAAACTATTTATAAAGCCATTAAAAATTACCGGAAGAAACACAGACTGGAAGTTATCGACAAGCACATCATAAAATCAGGCGGAGTAAGGAAGGCACTTAAAGATCTACGGGAAGTTACCAAGGAATGGATCCCCGAAATCAGAAAACAGAATAAAGCATATACTAAACGTAAGGACATCATAGAGTGTGCCACTGATTTCTACCGACGTCTCTACAGTAGAGAAGTATCGTTGAATAAAAAGTTTAAAACGATTATTACAACACATGACAAGCCCCTATCTATATTATGTAGCGAGGTAGAGAAATCTTTAAGTTCACAAAAACTAAATAAAGCGCCCGGACCAGACAAGATTACGAATGAGGCTCTACAAGGAACATCTAAGGAGTTATGTCCAATATTTGCAAGAATGTTTACTGAATTATTATATAGAGGTCAAATACCTTATCAATGGTCAAAATCACACATCATATTGATACACAAGAGCAGAGCAAAAGATGAAATAGGCAATTACAGACCAATCAGCTTAATGTCGAACATTTACACAATATTCGCTAAAATAATTCTCGACAGAATCACTCTTCAATTAGACGAAAATCAACCAATAGAACAGGCTGGTTTTAGACGTAACTTTTCAACCATTGACCATATCCACACGGTTAAACAGGTTCTCGACAGGTACAATGAATATAATAAACCATTCTACTTAGCCTTTGTAGATTATAAAAAAGCATTTAACAGTTTATACCAAGAAATTATCTGGGAGAGTCTAGAAAGGCAAGGCATTCACAAAACGTACATAAACATTCTAAAACAAGTCTATGATGAATGCTCAGCAAGAATATACCTCGAAACACTAGGAGACGAGTTCCCTATAAGAAGAGGAGTCAGACAAGGTGACCCTAATTCTCGAAAGCTGTTTTCCTCGGCTCTAGAACATATATTACGACAAATAAACTGGGATGTAATGGGCTTGAACATAAATGGAAGAAGACTTCACCACCTCAGATTCGCCGATGATATCGTTTTATTCGAAGAGAATCCCAAAACACTTGAAAGAATGGTACAAGATCTATCAAATGAAAGTAAAAAAGCTGGTTTGGAAATGAACACCGAGAAAACCAAAATAATGTCCAATAGGGATAAGATACCAATAGTTGTTGACGGTGAAGTACTAAAATACGTGGAAGAATACACTTACTTAGGCCAAATCATATCACCGAAAGACTTAACTTCCAAGGAAATAAATAAAAGAATAGCGAATGGGTGGAAAAAGTTTGGTCACTAAAAGAAATAATGAAGAGCAAAGAGTTGGGAATGGCAGGAAAACGAAAAGTGTTCGAAATGTATATTCTTCCCTGCTTAACATACGGATGCGAACCTTGGGCTCCCACAGCTTCACACAGAAATAAATTGTTAACATGCCAACGAGCAATGGAGAGGAGCATGATTGATATAAAGAAAACCGACCGGATCAGGAATGAAGACACTCGGAACAAAACCCAGGTACCTGATATATTACAAAAAATAGACTTACAAAAGTGGAGATGGACTAGACACATGCTCAGGAGCCAAATTGTCACAAATTGGTATCCAAGAGATGGCAAAAGAAGCAGAGGTGGGCAGCGTAGAAGGTGGGAAGATGATTTAAAATACACGGCTGGACCTTACTGGAGACGATTAACACTCGACCGGAAACAATGGAAAAGTCTGGAGGAGGCCTTTGTCAATAGACATTCCGAAATCAGGGACTTTATATGGTAAATAATAATAAAATAAATATTTAATATATTTATGCAAATAGTTTCCTTATGCCAAGTCTTGTTTTAATTAATTTAAATATTTAATAATAATAAATTAAATAAATGCCATTGTTTTGATTAATTTATATAAGATGCAATGAAAGATTTATTCATTAATAAGTTAATTTTTAAATGTCATAATGTGTTATAGTATATGTTAATAATATTTCTTCTATTTCTAATTGATAATGTTATGAATATCACTAATTGAGTAAGGATAATTTATATAAAAAAAATTTGTTGTCATTTTTGATTTTGGAAATAAAAGGCTATTTTATTTAATTTAATTTGTGTGTGTGTTTAAAATAAACTGAACAGGTAGAGGCGGTGTAAGAATATCAAAACATTGTAACATGCTGTAAGAATATCATTTTTATACGTGGTGGAGTCATGCTGCAGCTAAATTAGTAGTATTGTTGTAGCACGAATGGAACGGCTCGAGCGGGAATTTACCACACTCTCACAGAATATCAGCGTAAAATAGTAGCTTAATGCTGCTGTGTTTCGTATGGTGAGTGTAGAGAACCGGAGACCTTTTTTACTGGAAACGAGGCATTCCGTCTTAGTTCTCACGGGTGACAACGCATCTGCATTTCGTTTCGTAATCGAGGATAGATGTAGATGTCCATGGGCCACAGCAACCACTTACCATCAGGTGGACTGTGTGCTCGTTTGTCAACCGATCCTATAAAAAAACCACATGTCGTCCCGTAGGTGTTGTAAGAGGTGACTGAGGGAAGCAAACCAGCGGGCAGCAGGCAATAAAACTGTGATTGCCAAATCGCTTGCCAAGCGTGGCAACAGTAGCAAATCTCCTCCCTATGAGGCAATCTACGTGTAAATCTATTTATGACTATAGCGGTAGCGGTATGAGTCCCAGGCAATATATATTAGGTACGTGTGGCTAATATGGTAAAGCTTTACTAAGAACACTAAGTCGTATGCTATAACTAATATATTAAGAAAAAAAAAACCGCTTTGGCAATATTAGGTACACTTCGAAATGTTTAAATAAAGTCCTACTAGGTTTCTTCCTGGTTCTTCCTAGAAAGGAGGTTCTAACAGTTGGAGGAAGCCTGCCTAAATTACTTTCAATACGTATTCGTGTATTCTATATTGAATAAAAGTTATTCTATTCTGTTGAATGAAACTAGTTTTAATATATTTTATCACGTTTTTTTTAAGTTATTTTATATTCCCGACTTTTCGAGTACTTTACAGCACTCATTTTCATGGGGCTGACGTATTCTATGAGGTTATCGATAAGTTTGAATGTACATACTAGAAATTCAATCCACACTAACAACGATAACGTCGTCTGAGAGAGAATGCTCCCGTTGGTCTAATGGTCGTAAACCCGAGACCTCAATATACAATAGCTGATCTTGGATTATAGGTAGAGCAAAAATACACAAATGAGAAAAGAAACTAACTCCACTACAGCATACTAAAATCGACTAAAATATTTATTATAATATCAACATCGATAAAGCAGCGCCGTTTGGACCCTTT